AGACTTCATGTCAAAGTAAGTGGAGCCAGTCCCAAGATTCTGCTGGGGTTAAAGAGAGGCCACCTGTACGGCCATTTTCCGGTCTGCTGCTGGGCCTTAAAACCCAAAACCTAGTAGCTGATCCTTCTGAGAAAACTCCATGTCACAAATGAGGTGTCAGTATGGTAGCTACAGGCCACACATGGCAGCTTAAAGTAAAATTTACATTGAGGGCCGGAGAGATGGCTATTGTAACTATTTTATGACTATTTTCTACTCTGGCCCTTACCTCCCCTTTCCCATCTCTGCCAAGAGCTAAGTTTCCTTTGCAAAGACAGCTAACAAGACTAGAATTCAGTTTTATCAGCAGCCACGCTGGGCCCTTCCACTGCTGTGCACGGCACTCTGGTAAAGCTGAGTTGGAGAATGAGAGCCCTGGATGAAGGCAGAGCTCTTCATCCATTTCCTCCAGTGGATGCTGTCCGCTTAGGGATTTTCAGGTTAACTAAGGTAGCAGCAGCTAGCTCATTTAAAAACCCGAGATAGAAAAAAATATAAAATGTCAGAGTACATCTCACAGTAAAGAGAAATTTTGGGTCAGTGTACACATGTTCACACAAGTATACTTATAGATTGGGTTGTTTTATGGACTGTGTTCCTTGTTTGCTCATAGAAAACACATTTTAAAGTCACTGAGCCTACCCAGTCAAACATTACATCACATATGAATTCCTTTCAGAAATCCATAAGTGGTCATGCAACCTTGAGGCTGATATTTTCAATATGGTGAATGAATTAAGTAGTTTTACCTAAGGAGGATAGAAATATTTAGCCTCAGAATAAACAATCAAAAGAAATTTATGGTATCTAACCAAACAACTTTGCTGCATTGTGACTGTGATGTGAAGAATGGAAGGCAGGCCTGGAAGTTAGAGACACGGGTTAGATACACGGGTCACTTTTCTCAGGAGCTCTTGGACAGTTTCTCCTTCTGCCTGCTGGACTTGGTCACATGGGTGTATCATACAGTGTCCAGACTGTGCATCTGAGAGGAAGTCGCTATCCATTTGTGATAGATAGATAGATAGGTAGCCACCTGTATGGGCATTTTCCGGTCTGCTGCTGGGCCTTAAAACCCAAAACCTAGTAGCTGATCCTTCTGAGAAAACTCCATGTCACAAATGAGGTGTCAGTATGGTAGCGACAGGCCACACATGGCAGCTTAAAGTAAAATTTACATTGAGGGCCGGAGAGATGGCTATTGTAACTATTTTATGACTATTTTCTACTCTGGCCCTTACCTCCCCTTTCCCATCTCTGCCAAGAGCTAAGTTTCCTTTGCAAAGACAGCTAACAAGACTAGAATTCAATTTTATCAATAGCCACGCTGGGCCCTTCCACTGCTGTGCATGGCACTCTGGTAAAGCTGAGTTGGAGAATGAGAGCCCTGGGTGAAGGCAGAGCTCTTCATCCATTTCCTCCAGTGGATGCTGTCCGCTTAGGGATTTTCAGGTTAACTAAGGTAGCAGCAGCTAGCTCATTTAAAAACCCGAGATAGAAAAAAATATAAAATGTCAGAGTACATCTCACAGTAAAGAGAAATTTTGGGTCAGTGTACACATGTTCACACAAGTATACTTATAGATTGGGTTGTTTTATGGACTGTGTTCCTTGTTTGCTCATAGAAAACACATTTTAAAGTCACTGAGCCTACCCAGTCAAACATTACATCACATATGAATTCCTTTCAGAAATCCATAAGTGGTCATGCAACCTTGAGGCTGATATTTTCAATATGGTGAATGAATTAAGTAGTTTTACCTAAGGAGGATAGAAATATTTAGCCTCAGAATAAACAATCAGAAGAAATTTATGGTATCTAACCAAACAACTTTGCTGCATTGTGACTGTGATGTGAAGAATGGAAGGCAGGCCTGGAAGTTAGAGACATGGGTCGCTTTTCTCACAGGAACTCTTGGACAGTTTCTCCTTCTGCCTGCTGGACTTGGTCACATGGGTGTATCATACAGTGTCCTGACTGTGCATCTGAGAGGAAGTCGCTATCCATTTGAATGCTGTGCCTTCAGCAGGAAATGGGGTTCATTTCAAAATATTACCAGCTGACCCACCCCTACATCGCAAGGGCCCAGACATGTGCCTTCTTCCAACGCTGTCATTAGGTGCCAAGTTTGGCTAGGAAACTTCTGGTTGTTTCTTTGACCCTCGCTGTCCTGTGCCTCATCTGCCCCTCACTTTGCTGCAGCCTCTCCTGTCATACCTCCATTTTCCTCCATGGTGTCTCCCTCATGCAGGAAGGCAGTCGCAGACCCGTTCTAACAGCTGTTTCCTATTTTCTTTAGAAAACATTTGCGATCTCCTCCCTCCATCTCGCCATCCCTTCTTTCCTCCTGCTGTCTGCCTCAGCCTCCCAAATTCTGGGATTGTAGGCATGTCAGTAATTCTCCACAGTGGGCTACATTGAATGCTCTTTAGCACGGCATTCCAGCCTCTCCTTTCCTGTTTCCTGTTTGCTGTTTCCTGGAAGTGACTGCGGCCTTCCACCGCTGCCTTTGTCTGTACTGTTCCCTTCAGGTTCACCTTCTCTCCCCACCTTTCCTGCCCTGTGAGGTCTTCACGCTGATGTGTTCCCTCTTTCCCAAAGCCCACAACTGGCTCTGGGAATTTCCTGCAGCACAGTGGAGAGCTTTCTTTGTCTAGTTTATCGCTTTTGCCAGTACCTCTATGCACAGCTGACACATGCAGCCTGTTGCCTGCTGGGACCCTGCCCTGAAACTCTAGACATTGGTTGATGAGCTGTGGCATGCTGGTACAGAGCAGAACTCTGGGGGAGGGGGAACTCTGAAGTCTATTTCCAGGTCTCCCCACTAAGATTACACACCCAGAGGCAAGTTGCATCATCTGTCTGGGCCCACTTCCTCTTTAGTGAATTTAGCCAGGTTATGGAATCTGTCTCTGGCTTTCGGTGAGGATGAATTGAGAGAATCCTTGGAACTTCTTTCTTCAACCTTGATCCCCAAGAAACACTAGCTGGGCACTAATGAGAGAAAGCTGCTCTCCCCAGAGTTATATCCCATAGTATTAATGCTACATCATCCTAATTGTTCATTTCCTCTTAGTCTGCATCATTTTGTCCCTCTGAGGAGACATGCATGAACAAGACCATTGAAGGACCAGCCTTTTAACAGCATAGGCTGTGAATGCTGAATTAAATATCCTGATTACAAGTATTTCACTTGATTTTGAATCTTGGGGTGGTTTATAATCACCATCCTGAAAGACTCCTAGCACAATCCCAGTGCACAGTTCACTACAGGAGCATGAAGGGTTAGTTCTTGTCTAAATCATAGCAAAGTAGCAAATGCATTAAGCTATCCTGTGGCTACTTTTTTCTCCTCTAATCGCAGAAACTGGCTGCTTCCACCAAGCCCTGGCACAGAAAAGTAGCGTCTTACATTAATTGAAAATGGGAAACAGTTTGGTATGACAAGGTCATGATGATGTTATCTACTGCTTCCTGTAGTTAAGGTGATACAATGCATAGAAAATAATATATGATTTGATAATATGTAGTATGTTGTGCAAATCTTTTTCTACTAGTAGAATAGAAAGGGGGAGAGTAGTGTGTCCTTGTTTCTCAGTATTGTGTCCCGTAAGAGAATATGCCAGCCTAGTTTGCGGATCACTGGGGTGCAGTGCCTGCATCAGAGCCCTGGGGTGCACATGAGTACACATCATACATCAGAGCACTGAGTACACATCATACATCAGAGCACTGAGTACACATCATACATCAGAACACTGAGTACACATCATACACCAGAACACTGAGTACACATCACACATCAGAACACTGGGTACACATCACACATCAGAGCACTGAGTACACATCATACAGCAGAGCACTGAGTACACATCACACATCAGAGAAA